GAGATCGGTATCGGCCGATAATCACATTTCATGACTCGATCGGTACTCACTATTTGGCCGATCTCACGAACCGATCGCAATTTGATGACGTCAACGCCTGACCACGCACATGATGCGTGGGGGCGTAAATGATTTTAAGCCACAGTCATGTCATCGCTGGTGTGGAAATGCTATGACGTTTCGAGAAACAATGCTATTTGTCCTATTTGTCATGTATGTTTTACAAGATGATGAATGGATGGTTCATTTTTAACAGCAGATTTAGAGCTGATAGAGCTGATCTGCGCCTCACTGCACACGTCTGTGGCGCGTTACGGCTCCACGGGAACCGGAGCTGCTCGCGGCCGTTCTAGTCAGTGCTTGTGTTTATACTGCAGCCTTTCTCTCTTTTGTGAGTTGGCACAGCATGGAGGACGGAACAAAACCTCATCTGAACCGTATCGCTGATCGTGGGCTGCTTTTAAATGAACGTTTATTTATAAAACAAAATATCTTCTTTGGCCATATTAGCCTACTCAATAGCATTAACACAGGCTTTACACCTTTCAAACTTTATCTGGAATGTCACCGTTTCGGTCACTGTCACTTCCCGATCAGGCAAACGAACACACACACACGCGCAAAATCGTCTGCCTCATGAAAAAAATGTAGTTAATATTTGCATCATTTATGATTTGTTTTATCCACACGCAAATAATCAGAATGCATTTTAAAGCGGGAGAAACAGAGGTTTCCCCGGTAACAGCTGTACACAAAGCAGCGCTGAGCTCACAAACTCTGCTTTATCAGGCATATAACATGCAAGATGAAATGAAAACAACATCAAAAATTTTCTAAAGATAGTCTTCCTTCAGAAATATAGTGATATAAAAACACCCGCGCCTCGTTTTGATTTTTAAACGTGCAGTATGTGCTCATGTTTATTCAACGAAGCCTTTTGGAAAATCCGTCAGTTTTGATATTGTGAAGCATCAGAATCGGTATCGGCCGATCACAATGACAAGAAATCGGTACTCAGTATCAGCTGCAAAATCCTGATCGGAGCATCCCTAGTTATTACCCAGCACTACACATACATACATACATATATGTATGTATATATATACATACATTAAATCTAGATAAAGACTGACATGGGTGTTCAAGCACAATTCAAATCCCAGAAGTGATTACATATTGAGGCTTATGCACTGACTTTAAAAAAGTTTAGACTTTACAGAATCGTAAAGAGTTAAAGAACCCTCTAATGACATATGACATCAGTATGGAAGAATTCCTATAAGCCTCGAGCAGGCTGTCGGATTCCTCCTGCACTTGTTTGCCCTATCGATCGGATCACGAGTACCAGAAAGTGTCACCTTTCTACAAATGTGATAAAACAAAAGGCGAGTTGATTTGAACTGTATTGTCAGCTGTTTTACTCACATGGAAAAACAGAACAAAGTTTCCCAGTACGCGCGATTATCATGTAATCACTATTATCAACGCGCTACAATCACTGCAAATCTGAGCGCATCTCTTGCGAAGTGGCCTTCGCTTAGTTTACAGCTTCACCTACGAATACTATAAACTTTATGGTATATCTCAACAAGGCGAAGCAGCAGTTGCGTGTATACATTTAGTAGTTGGTGCTCAGCTTCAACAGATGATCAACAGCCACCACACAGACACTTCCAGCTCATTCTCCACACATCAACTCCAAAAACACCGCGTATGATTCGCACTGATTCGCAACGCTTCGTCCACTCACCTGTACGTAATTACTTTCGCAGTATTCGGCGACTCTCTCGAGGTTGGTGAAGCTGTCCAGTAAAGCTCCGCGACCCGCTGGAATTTCCTCCTCCAGCAGCATCTGCAGCTCCGCCATCTTTACATCCCTCCGACTCGACCGCCTCGCGCTACTACAGACAGGAAGTAGAGCGGCTTCACCTCCCGCTGAGTTTTGGGGAAAGCCAGGGAAGCGCATTTACGAATCCTACTATGGTGAATGAGTTTAACTGTATTAAAGTTAGTGATGTTGCACAATATTCCGTAACCATACCATATTCTGTAACTATTTCATATACATTTAAATGTGAAAATATATGGACATACACTATTGGTTAAAAGTTTAAAATAATGTGAAATATTATTACAATTTAAATGTAAACTGTGAATTATTCCTGTGATGGCAAAGCTGACCATTACACCAGTCTTCAGTGTCACATGATCCTTCAGAAATCAATTTACTATGCTGATATGTTGCTCAGTTGTTATCAATTATTATTAGTGCTCTATTATTAATAATGGTTCTTATTAAACGTTGAAAACAGTTTTTGCTGCTTAATATTTTTGTAGAAACTGTGATGAAAGTTCAGAAGAACGAAATTTAATTAAAATAGAAATATTTTGCAACAAATGTCTTTATTGTCACTTTTGAACAAATAAAATAAATGTATAAAATCTTACCTCAAACTTTTGAATGGTAGCGTATCTTAGTTTCCACAAAAATATTAAGCAGCATTCTTTTTTTCAGAATTTATAATAAAAATGTTTCTTGAGTTTCTTAATATTTTAAAATGCATCTAAATATAAAATAGTTATTTTAAATTGTAATAATACCTCACAATATGAGAAATTAATATTGATCAAATGCAGCCTTGGTAAGCAAGAGACGACTTCTTTCAAAAACAAAAACTTTTGTAGCGTATTAAAGAGTTCCACAATATATTACTTTTTGTTGTTGTTGTTGTTGTCGTTGTAGTTGTTAATGATTTAACCAGCGATCTAAGCATTACAGTATATGATATAATAACAAAATGCTACCTTTATTAAGTTGAACATGAAGCAACAGATAATCAACCTTTATCACTATGTATTTCTTCCTCTCGTTCCTCGCATTTTTCCTGCCAACAATAATGTTTCTTTAATCAAAATGAATTATCACACATAATATACGCTGAAAGAATGCATTACTGGAAAAATACGTCTAGATGCACTTTCTGTCTCGCATTCCTTTGGAAATTGCGCCCTCTGTGTTGTCTTAAAGTCACACTTTATTCGCCAAGTGTGTGGAGCTCTTGGTAAAAACATACATACATAAATGACATTGAGAACAGAAATAACATTTAAATAAGACTAAGGAAAAAATAATAATAACAAATAAATAATAATAATAATATTGTGGTATGCATCTGGAACAGAAGATTTATGTACAGATTTGTGCTTTATTTACTGTATATGCAGCTGTATAAATAAAAAGATGTATCATTATTTACATAATACTTGAGACGAGACTATAATTAGTTATTAAAAAATGAATTATAGATGACAGGTGATGATTTCTCTGTTAGCCGTTTAAGCTGGAGATGTCATGGGGGGAAAACCGTGTTTATCTAGATGTTCTAATGCACAGATCTGTAACGTCTGCCTGAGGGGAGACATGCAAACAGGTGGTGGCCGGGGTCTGTGATGATGTAACCTGTCCGCTTCTTCACTCTGGAGTTGTACAAGTCCTGAAGGTTGGGCAGGTGCACACCAATTATCCTTTCAGCTGTCCTAACAGTCCGTTGCAGTCTTCTTATATCTTACATCATCAAGAATTATTTCACTCCTTTAACATCTAGTTAGAAATTACAGTATTAAAAGGCAATTTTGTGCTGTGTTTGTGTATATGTGCTCTTTAGTGATGCGTTTAGTTGTAAAGGGGTATTTGACATGAAACATCAAGTGATCGACAGGAGTGTCCTACATTTATTTGCATTTATTAAAGCAGGCACATACTTTTATTAGCTATCCAAAGCAACTTACAAACTGCATGTTATACCTGCAGTATGCAATACAATACTTCTGGTAAAAGTACTTTAAACAACATTTTTCAAATTTTTGAATAATTATAATATAAATACAGTTCTTATGAATCCATAGATATGAAATATCTGTGTTGTAACAAATTTAAGAATTCAACACATCACAGGACGATTTAAGTGGACTGCAAAAAAGCTAGGTCGTACTTCTAAAATAAACACTTTTATATACAAACAGAAAACGTAACAAAAAAGTTTATATGTTTACACGGTTATAATCTACAGTATACAGTATAACAAGCCCAACAATACAGTAATATACAAAATGTTTACTTCAAAACATTTAGCACAAAACAATGTTAATTTCTGATTATTGATAAATGTAAATCATGTATCAGTGTCAGGCTGCCAGCTCATTTTTCTCATCATGACGTGGATACTCCTCCACCTCCATCGCCATTAAAAACTCTGACAGTAAAGACAGTGCTTATGTTAGGATGTAGACTATAGAGGAATAAGATAATTGACAATAGACACATGAATAGGATAAGACACACTCACACAGACACAGACACACACACACACACACACACACACACACCATTAACTAGCTGTTACATCATACACATTCTGTATAGGTCTACTTACCTTCAGTGTAGTCCATGTCCGGTCGTGTAGCAACAAACACCCAGGCCAGACCTACCAGAAGAGCTACGACCAGGTTTACCACGATCCAGGGCTGTAGAATCTGATGTTCTGAACCCGGGGGCCTAAACACCAATCACTGCATGTGATTTAGTGAAGTACACAACCCTGTGCTACAGATCAATTCCACTTATAGGATGATACAGTGATTGTTGCAGTAATGTTTTAAGGATATTATGCTGGATTATATTACACTCTTCAAAATAAAGGTGTTTCAAAAGGTTCTTCAAGCGATGCCATAGAAGAACCATTTTTGGGTCCACAAAGAACCATTCAGTCAAAGGTTCTTTAAAGAACCATCTCTTTCTTACCTTTTTGTAATCTGAAGAACCTTATTTCGCCACAAAGAAACTTTTGTGAAACAGAAAGGTCCTTCAGATGTTAAAGGGGTCATATGATGCTGCTAAAAAGAACATTATTTTGTGTATTTGGTGTAATGAAATGTGTTTATGCGGTTTAAGGTTCAAAAAACACATTACCGTATTGGCCCGATTATAAGATGACCCTGATTATAAGACGACCCCCC